CCAGTGGCCGGGGATCGAACCCCGGACCATGTGCGTGGTCGGCGAGCGTCCTAACCGCTATACCACCGACGAATGTTATAGTCTGATGAGACAGACCTAAATATCTTCCGATCTAATCATACCTCAGTCAACCACACTGTCAATCGAGAAAGGCAAAATGGCTCAAGTAAGCTTAACAGGCACACACACATGCCCTCCCCCCTATAATCACTATAATCAATAACGATCCACTAAAAAAAGCCATTTCAACCTTTAACACTGAATACAAAGACCCAAAAGCAAAAGAGATCAAGAACATACCACCACCGTGTATGATTAAAATTAGTGTTACTTTAAAAACAAAAAAGTACATACATTACAGTACAGAATAAATACACAAGGTAAAGTATTCACTTGTTGTATTTCATATCACAGTACATTGGTATATTTACATATACAGAGAGAGAGAGAAGGGGGGAGAACTGAAAACATTGACAAGTGTTCACCACCTACCTATGTGTATATATATAAAGGCATATTTCATAGTCTTTGTGGATGTCAGTGAATCCTGCCGCCGCTGCTGCTCCTCCTCCTCCTACCAGTAGGTGGTAGTAGTAGGAACTGCGAGGCAAAAACAAAATAAAACAACACCGGACAATTTGTTTTGATCAGAGAATTTACAATGTCTAACCACCACCAAAACCACCACGATGACCACTGCCACGACCCAATTACACAGTTTTCTCATGACCTTGGTTATATGTTAGTCATCTTTTTAGAGTGGAGGAAATACAGATGGTGAGGTGATGATGATGAACAGAAATACTGAATTAATTAATTGCTGCCTAAAACAAGAATTATCCCTTAAGGTTTACAAAAATATACCAACCAGGAAAGATGAATAACACTCATTTAACTTAGACAAATTGTACACCGATAGATAGATAGATGGATAGATATGTAACCGAAATAAAAGTAGATAAATTAATTTCCAAAATAATACTATTAAGAATAAGAATAATTTGCTTTCAAGAGTATTTCTTGTCGAGATTATCACACTTCTGATAATAAGTCGAGGAAGTCGGCATCACCGACTCACCGACGATGATGATGATGATGTTGATAATGATGATAGTCACTAATCTTTATGAATCCTTGCACTGGATTTACTCCGCCAACTGATCAAACGAAATAAAATGTAGATATTACACACAAAATAGTTTAATGAAGCGATCCATACCAGTAGCCAGACAATACGATTTAAAAATACGCCTTTCAATGTACACATTTCTAGACTGTAAGCAGACGCCAGCCATAGAGCTTGTGAGCCAAACCAGATGAATAGATTTTGTACTATAGCACGATAAGGTGTAATTTCTTTTGGTAAATGTATATCTGCTAAAGCGATTGGTAGTAGACATAGACTCCATAAGAAGTACTGAGAAGTGCAGACCTGCAGGGGGAGGAGAAGCACAAGAAGAAGAAGAGGAGAAATCATACAACAATAAAAACGAATGCTTGATGAAAAAGCGTGTCACACATTGTGTGCTTAACGTTATTTTAGTTACCTTTCTACATACGCAAAAAAGACAAATCCAATCGATTATGTGTCTTTCATCATTAAGTTCAGCGTTCGGCAGTTAAAGATAAACTACCTAATTTCGCCTCTTCCATGTGTATCTATCAGTGTGACTGCTCAGGTGCAGTGAGCCGGTTAGTTGCATAGGCCGTATACAATTAGCCGTGTATATATCGTCAGAATTCCGAACACCATCCATCCTTCATAGCGGTTAAGTAAGGAACAAACAAGGTTTATATTCACAGTTCCATATTGTCTCATCTCGTGGATACAGAACACATCAATCATATTGATGTAAACAAGGCCGCTTTCAGAATCATCAACCATGCCGCATGCCAACTAAGCTTAATTTAACCTCCAATAGTTCGTCTACCACATATTGCTGAGGCTAGCTGTTGGAATTCACCTTAATTAAGAAATCTAATCTAAGGATTGAAAAGAAATTAGTTTGGACGATTTCTTTACCCCCGCTGACCGGCTATCAAGGTACTACTGATCCTTAATTTTTTGTAGAAATATCCTGAATTATATTTGATATTCTGTTTACTATTACATTTTTATGATTATTATTGTTATAACTTATGCATCTTTCTTGAACTGTGGTAATTCCATTGCGATCTTAACAAATCGATAGAAATTGGTTTGTGACTGGCCCTATTCAGGCAGTTAACATGGGGTTCTAATGGGAAGCCGTGACCAGTAGGGTACAACAGGTTGAAGATGAGGCAGTAACTCATCGAAGAAGACATTGCGAAATGGTCGCGCTATGTCCTGAATTGGCAGAAGTTAGAATTCAAGGACCATTGGATCGGGTCCCAGTGGCTCAATGGTCTACGAGCTCGCCTTGTAACCAGAAGGCCCTGGGTTCGAATCCCGGTGGGTGCGTACTGCTGAAGAGTCCCAAACTAGGAGGAAACAGCTATCCAGTACTCCCAGGTTGCTTTCCAGTGGTTCTTTAACTGATATCAGCTCATGATGAAATCCTCCATGCAATCAAACAAAATCCCTACAAAACCAATACTTGAAAATTAGACAAAAATACATTAATATTGTTAGCGACGATTATTCTAGCATATTCAGTGTAGAAGCGGAAGAGGAAACTATCGACGAGAATATTCTTTGCTCGAATTTTCTTTTGTCTTCCTGAATGTCTGAATGAATATTTTCCAAGTATGTTTATAAATTTGTGTTGATCGGAATGTTTATGATCAGCTTTTTAGTATAACAGCTAGGCAGGTGGTTATAGCAAGCAGGAAAAGCTTTAAAACATGAGACAACATTTTATGAATGGTCAATATGGTCACGCAACATAAAAAAAATTCTCAGGTTTGCTGAAGCTATAGGAATAAAACGATTGAAGCCTGACTTATGGGACCAAAAAAAATCCGTTGTTGGACTTCAATTACTCTGGTGACTCACTTCTTAGTAACTCTTTGTTTTTTAATTTTCTTAACTTATCTTTTCACTCCTCCCCGCTCCTTTATTTTTTCGCTTGACTCTCTTAAGAAATAATTTTTCTTGATCTTCTGAGTTCTGCTCACTGTATTATATATCATCAACTTCTCATCTGACCTCAAGTGAACCGAAATTTTGTTCTTTTCTTATCTAATTACGTAACTATTACTAATTTTGTTTTGTTACCAACCCAACAACACAACTGTTAATTAATTTTTTTCAAGAAACTTCTCTCTAACAAGATATATATATGTCGTAATACTTTAGACATCTTTTAAATCGCAACGCCTTATTTCACTATGATCCTCTGACAGTAGGCTTTCTAGTGGAAAAAAGTTTGTTAAAATTGTACACTTTTTATTACAGAATTCAGGTTGTACGCAGCTGATGAAAACCGACGAAATAAAATCAAATGGATCCAGATTATTCTGCGCGCCAATGTTTCTTCTTTCTTTGTTCAAATTTAAAAATGAGGAATTTGCTATAATCAGTGATCCCATCAGATGATCACCACTTTCACTCTGTACAATATTAGGCAAACTAACTGCAAATAAATGTCTGATGCACTTCATAAAGAATATCAGGAACTTTGTACAATAGCTCACCAGTTCCAGTTGTCACACTTCATAAAGGTATACAAATAAATACAATGTACCAGGAGAAAAAACTACTATATAAAGAATAAAGAGGATGGGATGAATCTGCAGTACCAAAGAGAAGTAAACATAATTGTGTCATGCTACTGAGGAGTCCAGGAAGACAGTCCACATCTCTTTACGTGGCTGAAGACAAAGACTTTGTGGACTGATGACGTGTTTTCTTCTCACCACTGACCTTTAACTCTTTTCCAATTTATTCATTTATAAGCTAACAAAGCACATCGAAGAAGGCAGTGACTGGTTCAGCGTGCAGAAACACGTTACACCCTTCACAAACGATGGTCGACTGACTTTCCCGGGTCCTTACTTAAAAACTACGCCCGAATTCAATGTATATATTAGTCACCAAAATTTTAAACTACCCAACAGAAGAAAATCGATACAGACACCAATGGTGAAAATGACTATTTTCTTTATGTCTTCCCCCGTTTCTTATTCTTCGTAAGAAATATTAGCATGTATCGTTCGTTAATATAGACTAACTGGTTTCAAAGCAAAACTTCGGACAGGTGAGCACCAGATTCAGGTGCCACACCCCTCTCTCCTTGCAGCACATAAAAGCAACAGAAGACAGTAAAGAGACATTTGGAAGAGAGAGAGAGATAATAAACACAAGTGTGAGAGTAGAATGCCCAACCTTTCGTCTTCACCAGCATTATTTCTGGCTTAGCGAGGTAAAGGAGTGCGTCGGCCGGGAATCGAACCCCGGACCATGTGCATGGTCGGCAAGCGTCCTAACCGCTATGCCACCGACGCACGTCTGACTTAAAGTAACTGTTGTGAATTTCACTGACTGACCAAGCCATATCCTGGCTTGACCACAATATGCTAGCTCTTTCCAAACTCATACATTCTATGTCAATCAGCTAACTAACATTGCCCATAGATCGAGGAAGGCGATCGATGGCTAGTCATGCGTGCGTAACACACATCCTAACCATCTCATTCACAACCACCTCTTGAATTGACTTCCCCTCCTACCCACCTCAACCTCCGATGTCTAACTTCAATATTACTTACCCTATTATACCACTACCTAAAACACACACGCACACACACACGGAAGTTAAAATGCAGACACCTATAATCAAAGACGCTTATAAAAGGAGGAGAAAGGAATAGCATATTTTACTAACATTTATCATTGAGTAATTCAAATATGTGTACTTACACTAATAAACTACAGTTTTAAAAAACAAAAATTCATTTCCTCACAGATATATATCCAAATATATCATAAAACTGCCTAAAGGTATATATATAACGCAATAAATGAACGCGAAGTAGATTGATTGATTGATAAAAAGTCATCACTGTGTGAGTACAATTCAACTTACCCTATTAAATGTCACAAACATATACGTCAGCACAAACCAGCATAGACCAAGATTGGAGTGAAGTTTCAACGATAAAGATGGTATTAACAATATACACGGTAAAACTGTAGCAATCTTGAAAATGCCTTCCATTAAATGAATTGCACTGAGATTCTCCAATAATAGCGATAATGATAATGAATTCTCCCCATTCATTGAACCAGAGTATTGATTATCAACACTACTACTACTACTACTGCCCCAGTGAATCAATGAATTAGTCAAATTACTCCACAGCATACTCAACCAATTACGATGTTGATGAGGATTAGCATCCCACCCCGCTCCAGTGGGAATAACTTCCCCACTACTCGCTGCTGCTGCTGCTGTTGTTAACCACCATTTTTGTCCAGAGAGTAAATACACAGTTAGAAAATGTGGTGCAAAATTATGCTTGAAATCTGATCGACTGAAATGATATAGACAGGCTTTTTGAAGAAACAACATCCCACCAAAATATACATAACACAATCCAGTCAATGTTATCAAGCTCAACAGGCAACTGAAGCCAAATATAAAGTGATTTCGATTAGGTAATTTTGTAAAAAGGAAGATTAGGCTTCTCAGCTGACTGTTGGACGTCTGACAATCTTTACTATCATCAACCTTCTTCGTGTTCGTCTTCTCCAAATGCTCGACCACCACCTTGTTCTGCCCATCATCTTTCATAAGCCATAAATAAATAGACAGTGCATAGATGATTGGATATATTCTCAGATGAATACACAATCCATAGAGAAGTCCAGCTAAGGCGATACGACGTTTCAGTATGCACCATAGACAGGTTATGACAAGACAACTTTGCAATGCATCTGCATTACCACGAACAGAGACTACAGCTGTCACAGGATTGAATAACCAACCGAATGCAACCAGAAATATAGCTAATCGACTTGCAGTGAGTGACAATGAAATTCGTTGAGTCTTTTGATCAGGATGATGCTTGACCAACTGATCTTTCTACAATATAAAACAGGAAGAATTACGCTAAGAGATTAACAAATACGCAGTCGGTAAAATAAAACAACCTACATAATACCGACTGAGTGAGATGAGTAGTTGTGTGGCATGTGCTACTGATAAGAATTATCAGTAGTATATGTATAAAGAGATGTTTACCGGCATAAAAGCATCAAGTAACAGGGATATAGATTTAAAGTCAGAGAAAGTGAATGACTCAGTATTTCAGAGGTACATGGGAGACGAAAAAAAGGAGCACAACACGCAAGATCTGTGCAAATGATGCATCGAAGATAAGGTGTACATAATTTGGCTATATATAGGGATACCAAATTGCAAATAAACTATGTTGACTGGACACTAGTCAGTAGCTAGTGTAATGTTTCTAGTCCTATCTTTGGTGCAGACTGAATTCTATCAGTCAGATATACTATCTAGGTAGCTCGCCATCACGGTGTACTTTGAATATTGTTGATATTAGACGGTTGGAGGCAATCAATAGGAAACCGTACTCAACCTAGATTTCATGCTATTTGACACTCACCAGTGAGTGCGCAAGGCAGGCGTATCTGCAACCACGCCCCTTCTGAGATTCGAACCCATGTCACCCAGTGCCGCTCACAGTCAGCCAGAGACGTTACGACTGAGCTATCGGGACTCACGATTGACCTCCTGTAGGACTGTATTAGATACTTTTGATTGGACACTAGTTAGTGACTAGTGTAATAAGTGTGTGTCTAGTCCTATCTCTGTACGGAAAGGTTTAAACATAATTGCAAATTTCTGAACAATGTACCGAAAAGTCTATGTCTCCAGTGGGAACAAACGCTTACAATGGTACAATTATCAAGCATCTCCTTAATCTCCTTGAGTCATGAGGTGAAAACAGAAAAATCCTTTAAAATTATCAATAAGCAAAAATAGTCCTATTCTCCTCAAGTTTGCCGAAGCAATTCCTATCAAACGCCTGAAAACGAAGTTACGTGTTCAGAATGAAGCAATTAGCATCAGTCCTTCCTTGACCAGACTGGTAACTGGATGTCATAATTCTCCTCTCTCACTTAATTACTTAATCCTTGGTTCTAATCCAACCTTGTAACGACAGAAGACAAGAATCAGGCAACAGATCGTTTATTGAGGAAATCCAGAGATATTTACAGATTTTTATGTACATTATTATTCGTTATTACTAGCAGAGAAACAGCGTCTTCTGATTGGTCGTTTTCTCCCTGAAAGTCGTCATCTGTCATCTTTCCGTGGCTGTTTTTTTTGAAGGTCAGAGCATATATCTGCTAATCGTATCTGCCCACGCAAAGCCTGCTGTGATTGGCTGTTGAGTTAGTCTTTGTTCTTGTTTTTTTCTCATGACCAAGATTTAGGACGTAAACATTGACGTAAATTGCTGTCCACCAATCTCAGCTAACAGACAGGTCTAACCACAACTCCAAGCCGTACTCTGTCTGATATAGTGTAATTTTGCTTGTTTCTTTTTTCCATGATTTGAGTTGAACTCAGTACATTGTTACCCAAATTTGTTATTCACTAATCATCTTACGCATCTCGTCTTCATTACGTAACTCCTTTACCATTGTATGCATGCATACATTTACTTTAGTTAAACTTGTGTATTTTTATGAGCACTGTTCACTAAGCTTGTAACCTCCAGTCAACCGACATCATGTAAAATTTGCAAGTATGTTAAGAATTGCCGTGTACACAAACTTAAAAATAATTTATTTAGGCTGTAAGCAAGCAGCTGATGAGACGCCAACGAAATAAACAAAGGATGGTACCATCTTGTATTATGCACAAACCACCAGAGTTGTTCTTGCTTTATCCAATCTCCTAGTTCACAAAAGTTCTACAGATGAAAATTGAAGATCAGAGAGGAAGAACACTATCACAGAGAAATGAAAATTATAAAAAAAACAAGATCAAATAACTTACAATAAGTTTGTCATGAATAATTATGTATTGTAAATAACCACAGAGTAAATCAGCCATTATAAAGATCAGTTTACCCCATAGATGAGCTAGGGCAGGAAGAATCGATGACTTTCCTCCTTCAACTGTTCTATTCGCCACTGAATATTCACCATCATCAGAGAATAACCAATATCCTGGAGCCAGGACTAATGCAATCAGTGGTGAATACCGATAGGTAGGACGTTCAATATACATATTCTTCCCAGCGACAAAAGCTTTTGCACCATCTGCAAACACATCATAATCTACATCAGTGAAGCGTAATTGACCATCTGGCCAACGAACTGTATCTTGCCATACAGAAAATATCACTAATATTAGTCTTAGCAATAAAGCTGTTGTAAAACATAAACGATAGTAGTTGTAGTCTGAGTTGACAGCTGTTGATGAAACATTTTGATCAATATGATTGACAAGTTGATGTTTCTGTGCATCTCCATCGGAATATAGTTTACTCCTACTGGTGTGCGCCGCCTTCGTTACTCTATGATGAATTTGTCCATCAACAGAACAGTGAGATATTTCAGTTACACGACTCGACTTCATTTGTCTTAGTCTAAGAGTTGAGTTATCCAGACTGTCCATCTTATTATCATCATCATCATCATCATCATCATCAAAATCGTCATTGTTATTTACAGGATTATTGGCATCAGTGGACAGACGATCTGTATTATGCTGTTTACGATCAACAATTACCACATCACCACATGGTTCATTGACATCTCTTACGGATAAATCCATACTCTGAATAAAGAAAGGTAGAATAAATTATGGGAAATTATTCAATTTTAAAATCACAATAGTGGTAATAAATACTGACGAAGATCATTCACTTATTAAACTGTCAGTTTCCTCCAGCATACTGACACTAGTAACAATAAAACCAGAGAAAATTCAACAAAGATACTTAAAATTAACAATAAACTTCAACTTGAAATGACTTTCATAAGAGATAAATACTAAATTTCACACTCATATCAAGATGAAGTGAATGCTTTCATTGATGGCACTGGAGGGAGAGAGGGTAGAGCGTTATATCACTGCATTCTCACCCAAGTAGCTGGATGGTCAATAAGACTAATCTCATAGCAACCTGATGATCCCGAGTCCCATCCCTGATGAGAGGTGGGTGGGGTTATAGATGTGTACCGTTGTGCTGAAGAGTCCCAATGTAGGACGAAACATCTCTATCCAATGCTATCTGATTTTCAGTCATCTATAACTAACGAAGCCTGTATTGAAAACAATCAAAATCTCTAGAGAAACCCCATAACCTAAATTATGCTAGTAGACTAAATTTTAGTAACATCTTCCTTATAATAACAATAATCATGATAATTCTCAATTTTTATGAGTAACACAGAGCTGACTTCATATTGGACAGAATACACTTATCACAGCCTTAGAGGCGAATATGAGTAAGTTAATCATCATCATCATCAAATGCCAGATAAGCTAATATCGTTAAAACTTAATACCTCTCATACAGAAAAACAAACGAAAAGTCCGCTTTTAAGTGCCGTCATGGCAATGTACCACCAACCTTGTCGTACTGATCAGTCACTGAAATGAAAAAGTGATAACAATTTTAAAGTTTTCACAGAAGCACAACAATGTGATTACATACATCACCCAATAGATTTGATTTTAAAATTATTATATATGATAATCACGAGGGGGATCTGACATATGATTACTAATGCTGGTACTTTAGTAATTTCACACATTCTTGTGACTGTTGGGATTTTATTCAGATACTAGTTGATGTATTAACCAAACAAAACTATCATTTTATACCCACCTCACAGTCATGAAATGACCATATTCTTATATTTCGGAAATAGTTCACGAGTCAACTACATAGTTTCATAATAATTTGTTTATTAGATGTATCATGTATTCAGTGAAAGCGATGACAAAGTTTCCGACACAATTTATTACTGCTCATAATCATTTCATCAATTATAATCACACAACTTCAAAACTTTCGTTCGCATAGTTTTCTTCATTCTTTCCTATTCGTCGTCGTAGAGGCGGGGGGTGGTGGTAGTAGAATGTTCCCGATGTCTGACTTGATAGGTGTTGGATCCCTCGTATTTTCCTCAATTGATTCGATGAATAAAGCTTCACTTATCAAAAGAACTCATTTCTGACCAAGAACTCGAACTTAGAACAAAACTGCCACTAGAAGACATAATGCCCAGGAGTGCAGTTGTGCCTGACTTCCACAGTATTTAAATTCCAAGGGAAAATATACAAAAAAACTGATGCAGTTGCCATGGGGTCATCAATATCCCCGGTTGTGGCAGATATATTCATGGACAGTTGGGAAAACATAACGATTAAAGCGTTTAGTCCAACTCCAAAAATATGCTGGAGGTACGAAGATGACACATTCAGCATGCTTAAAACACACAAAATAAATAGATTTTTTGAACACACCAACTCGAAAGTTGAAGCAATTCAACTCACTTGTGAATTGGAAAGTCAAGAACGGGAGCTGTAAATGTTAGATTGTAGAGTAAAAAGGAAAGAAGATGGGAAGTTAAACACTAGTGTTTACAGGAAACCTACACATATTCAAACAAATATTTGGATTTTCAATCATCGCACTGTATGTCAGTAAAAATATGATTGGTGAAATATCTAAGTAATAGGGCATAAAAACTAACTAGTCCAAAAAAACTTAGACAGAAAGTGAGGCACATAAAAGAAGCTTTGAAACTTAATAATTACCTTGATAAATTAATCAAGAAGTATGTAGGACTAAAATTATTAATAATCGTAGTGATAGTGATAATAATAACAAGAATTTGTTAGTGACAACATGCATGTCAAACATGCACAGGATAATGGTAACACCAACAATAAGCAGTTAAAATCGCCATCAATAGTACTTCCATACAAAGAGGGAACCTCGGAAAAAGCAGAAAATTCTGAACAATGCAGCAAGGAGCAAAAATGGCTGGCACTCAAACTGCCCACAAACTCAATCAGAAACAGACTTTGTAGATTATAGCATCAATCCTGTGGAGCCAATAAAACAAAACAATTCAGTTTATCTGATACCCTGCCTGAGCTTATTGTAACGTCAAACACATACGTCAAAGTAGTAGAACGGGTTCAGCCAGTCAGTCAGACAAGCGGAGCACAAAAACTTAGCACACCAAGATAAGAAATCTGGAGAATAGTTCAGCTATAACACAACACCACATGCATTGGGATCGGGTAAGATGATAGTTCTAAAGTCTAATACAACTAACAGCGTGAAGGGAGACATTGATGAGTAAAGCTTTATTTATCGAATCAACTGAAGAGAATACGTGCAATAGGAATGATCTATCACCTGTCCAGTCGGACATCTGGAAAATTCCACTACCACCCCCTCTACGACGACAAATAGGAGAGAATAAAGAATGAAACTATAAAAGGGAGGTTTCGAAGTTGTGCGATCCTAACTGATGAAATGATTATGAACAATAAAATAAGTTGTGTTCGAAACTTCGTCATCTAGTAAATAATAATAATACCGTCTCTCCACTGTGTGATATATCTAATAAACAAATTAATATAGAATTACATACTACCACAATGCCTAAGTTTTACACATATATTAATATGGTAAACAGTATAACAGACACTGTGAAATTTATACAGACGGAAGAACCAAAGTCCACTTTCCTTCAAAAAGACTAGAGAAAGGAAGGACGATATTTAATTTGGTGAAGAGTCCTAAAGACAGAATCATTGATGACATGGATGCTGAATTATTGAATATATCCATAGCTAAAAATGTTCAGTTTCACACTAATAATTGTTAGTTATATATGTTAAACTATCTAGCTGTCTAGATGTAAGCATGTAAACTTATAACTCTTCAACGTAATGGTTCTAATGTAAAATACTTTTAGGAATCCATAGGCAGGAAGTGCATATCTGGTATATGTCGATATCAACTCACAAATCCTACGACTTAATTGTAAAGCATCTTTTTCAATTTCTAGTCTACTTATTTAAAGTAGGAGTCAGTGTGTTCGGGTAGATCGGTCGGTCGGTTTTCGACATAGAACTTTGCACATATGTGCGGCAGTTCAAGTCACCACACTCCCCCCTTGTAGCACACAAAGCAAGAGAAGAAAGTAGGAGAAATGCATAATATAATCAGTAAACAGAGGTGTGAGATAAAGGAATAGTAATAACGAAGAACAGTATAGTTTCATTGGAAATTATAAGTCACAAGGAGTGGATGCATCTGCGCCACTGAGAACGATTTTGAGCCATGTCACCAATTGTTTCCAACCATTGGTTTTTACCGTCCCGAGGACCCCAACCAGGAAGTCTGCACCTTCCTACGTGGCTTAGACTAACTGTTGTGGATTTCATTGACTGATGAGGCCATGTTTTGGTTTGACAGTCGTTAGCTCTTTTTCAGTCTGATGTTATGTCAGCTAACATTGCCCATCGGTCGAGGAAGGCGATGACTAGGCATACGTAGCACATGTCCTAACCATCTCAGTCGGTGTAATTTCAGTCTCGTCGACTGATTTCCCCGCCTTACCTAGCACTCGACCGATGCCTTACCTCAATATTGCTCACCTTATTATACCACTTCACGCGGGAGATAGAACGCAGACACCTATGATCGAAGACAGCCAATCTTTTCATGTCTTCCACTCTCAATGACCAGGTCTCACAGCCACAAAGGAGGACGAAGCGGACTGTTGAGCAGTAGACACGCCCTTTGGTCGATAGTCGGATATCGCGTCTACGCCAGAGACGGCGTAAACTGGCATATGCGAAACTAGCCCTCTGTATTCGTGCTGAGATTTCGTCGGAGATAAACCCATTGGGGTTGATGGTGCTTCCCAAGTAAGTGAAGCGGGTAGATCAGAAACTCTTGATCAACGATCATAATTAATAGCTACAATGGGGAGATTTCAGAGGCACAATACTACAAAAATTAGCTTGTACATTACATCTATATATGAATAGTTGTCTATTGTTCTTTGCTCTTTTGATGATGTTATCATATTGTAATAAAGTCTAAATTATTCAGGATTTCATTATGAACTGACATCGGTTAGAGAGTCATTCGAAAACCACCTAGGAGTACTGGACAACCAGCTGTTTCGTCAGCCTAGGTTGGCACTGATTCTTCAATAGTACGCACCCACCGCCAAGGACCCGAACCCAGGACCTTATGGTTACAAGGTGAGCGAGCACGTAGACCATTAAGCCACTGTGACCCTATCTAATGACCAACGCATGAATTCCAACTTCTGCCAATTCACTATATGGCGAGACCACTAGCGAATGTCATCGGCGAATGAGGTTTGAGGACAAATACTCGCCAGTGATAACATTGGTTACTGCCAGTCGCTCTATATTGGCCTAATGGTCTACGAGCTAACTCGCCTTGTAACTGAAAGGTCCTGGATTCGAACACTGGCGGTGGGTGCTTACTGCTGAAGAGTCAGCCACAAACTAGGCTGGCGAAACAGATGTCTAGTACTCTCTCTCTAACCGAAGTCAGCTCATGATGAAATCCTGTAACTAATCAAGCAAATATCTAAATTATTGATCGTTTGTATTTAGACTAATCATGAAAGAGATCTTCAATCTTTATATTATATCACAACTGAATGTTTTTCTAGTTAGCCAAGAAACCAACCTGAAGGTTATTCTTTACAAAAACAAGAATTTAAACGTGTGTTAAAATAAGCATCAAGTTATGATGACGATTAGATTCACACAATTGCAATTTCTCATCAACCAGATCAACAAATTTACACTTTTAAAAAACAAAACAATAGTAATAATAACAATCATAATTTGAGTTGTACTCAGAAAAGAAATACACTTGCATTCATAATAAAAATTATATTCTGAAAGACAAAAAATACACTTAGAATAGCAGAAGTACAAGGAGTGTATCAGAAGTAGTAGTGGTAATTCACAGTTGAAAGTATCTACAAGAGTTTGAAGGTAACAACAGTGGAAAAAAAACAAGAAACACTCACTAATACTCATAATATTTAAAGGTCAACAGTGACAGCAACAACAACAACAGCAGAACAAAGTCTGTACACAGGACAAAGTCTAGAGATGAATACAGCAGAGGTAGAGCGGGAGAGAGGGAGAAATAATAGAGTTTACAAAAATATCAGGTATCTCTTCTTGTTATGTAATCACTATAGAATAATAATAATAATAAGGAGAAGAATCTTGTATGTATAGCTGTTTCTTCACAGCCAGACTTGAAGTACTGCAACAGCTGATCAGGGAAGGAGAATGACAGTGGTCAAACACTACTGACCAGTTAATACATACACAGCTGAAGAAAACAAAAAGAAAAATTTAAAAATATAAAAATTTGTCAACTAAAGAAATAGTTTTTTTTTAAAAATCATTAAACAAACACACTAATGAAATTTTTTCACATTTTCAGGAATTTCTACAGGGAAAAAACAATAGAAACCTGATGAGCAACAATCAACCAGGTGGTCAAATCCATCATATCGAATCAATACTTTGATTAGCTTAGCTTAGATCTTGTCTTTTCCTTTGAATGGACACTAGGCAGTAACTAATGCGTCATGCCTTTAGTCCTGCGTTTTGTTAACTCTGTAATGTGTCCAGCATGCCACTAGGTGGCTCACCTTCACGATGAACTTTGAACTATTGTTAGATGGTTGGAGGCAATCGGCAGGAAACCTTGAACTTAGATTTCATACATGTTGGCACTCACTCACCAGTCAGCAAAGTGGCGTATCTGCAGTCTTGAAGGAACTCTCGTCCTTTCTGAGATTCGAACCGGTATCACCCGGTAACGTATTCAGAGTCGTTGTCCGGGCTTCCTGACAGTTACCTCCACCTATCTAGCAGTATTGTGTTAATCATAGTATTTTCAAGTGTCGGCTTGCATGGATTTCATTGAATTCAAGTTAAATCTAATGCTCACTGGTGACTGTCTACACATTTAAGTTGCCGGGAATTCTAGGTGAGGCGTCACCAAATCAGGTGTAGGGACAAATACTCACGGATGATATTGGCTGGGGATGGCACCATATGTCGCAAATCGATAGCATTCAGAATTCAAGGGTCATTTGATTTCATCGTATTCGCTGAATGGTCAACTGGTGTGCCCCGGGGTTCAGTCTCCAGTTGGGACTGCTGAAAAGCCTCCAAATACAATAAAAACAGCTGACCACAACTCGTAAAACTTCTCTTAATTCGACATTTAACTTGAACTTATAGTATTATTCAACTTATCAGCTATTTATAGTTACTTGTTAAGGCATTTGTGGGTAGACAGTAACAGTCCACTAATTCAAAATCCCATCGGTTGGAAAAGCTACTTTAAGTCATTCGGGCAGTATCTCCAGCGTAATAAGCAAATCTCTGACCAGACTAACACCAGTTTAAGTTATGACTTCGACTTTGAAGACTCCGAATATGCCCTATTCATGAGTGTCAATAAGTGCGAAACCCGGATCCAGGGCTTCCTATCAAATGCCTTAAAAGTCGTACATTCCGTCTTTGTATACGTCTCTTCTTTTAAGAAAAGTGGCTTGGACCTATATGAAATCACTTATGATGAGTGAATGTCAGATATGAATTCATTGCCCCGTAACCCTTGATTCAAGTCAACGATTATACATCAACAGTTGTCACATGAAACTCACGCAAAATAAGACTCCGCGACAGGACTAGAACCAACAGTCGACGACTGTGTGGAGTGACATCATTAAGACCAACATTGGTTTGTAAGCGGTGTACACTACTACTCCCGCTAATACAGAATGTGTTGAGTCAGACACTTGCTGTTGTTGTTGACAGGGCAGACAGGCAGGCTTAATACATACACACCTTCAGTATAACAACCAAACTAGTTATTAGTGCAATAACTTTAATACTATTTATTGACTTACCTACCACACGTTGGTGTTTTTTGCCAGAGGTAATGTAAATTTTAAGACAAAACACTGGAAACATTAAAATATCCCGATACGAATTAAGAAACAAGCAACAAATGTTTAAAAAAGTAGGATTTATTGATTTCATCAAATTTCGCAGAACTCTTCCTCAGCTGAATACTCTCTTCCTCTCTCTACAAAAGGGGATACAAAAAATTAAGATTAAATGCATTACGGATCAATTACATCAATTAAATAAGCAATTAGTTATCAGTGAGTAAAAATATTATCAAGAATTGAGCAATTAATAATCCTGATAATGATAGTAATGCTAATAGTAGTAATAGTAATAATAATGATATTAAAACGAGCTAAGATAATGGTAATGATAAAAAGTAGTTCAAAATGAATCAGAAACACTGATAATAAGAGGTAGAATAAAATATTGAATACAATAATAATATGTCGGATAGTTGGAGCAAATCGGCTACAGGAAGCCTTGCTGGACCTAGGTTTCGTCAGCAAGGCGTGTCTGCAAACTCAAAGGAACTCATGTACCTTGTGAGATTTGAACCCGCGTCACCCCAGTGATGCAGTCAGAGACTTTACCACTGAGGTATTCGGGCTATTCGGTGGGTGCGTACTGATGAAGAGTCCCAAACTAGGACGAAACAGTTGTTCAGTACTCCCAGGTTTTCCAGTGGTTCTCTAACCGATGTCAGCTCATGATGAAATCCTCCATGCAATCAAAACAAAATCCCTACAAAATCAATACTTGACAATAATAATAGTAATAATAACTATTACAATAATAGTAATAATAATAATAATAGTTAACAAGTAGAATATATTACCGCGCTGATTAAGGCACTCTATACGAAATCATGCGGTCACCCGGGTGAGAGCCTATGGAGAGTTGTCAAAATGAAATGGTGACAACCAGTGGTATCTATCACGGATACCCACCAGTGTCCCCGGTTTACCTTTAATTTCATCATAGATGTATGTGCTAATGGACTTAACCCTAACTGACTTCAGAGACTCAGGGATTGACTTGTTACCAGGGTATTATAATCTCAATGACTTAGAATATGCAGATGACATAGTCCTCCTTCCTAGGTGAAGATGCTGACAAAATGAAGTAGAGTCTTCTGAACACCTTGAACAGTGAGCAATCTTCGGATGTTTCACATGCGAGTGACTCGCTCCTGCTGTCAAATGCAAGATGATAATACATGACTACGTGTTACTATTCAGCAGCCTTTTCTTCTGTTTTCCCTTATGGCTGTGACCGAGATATCACCACTGAAAGTTGAAGACATGAAAAGCCTGGTTGGCTGGTCAGCTGTCTTTGATCATAGGTGCGTAATTTCTATTTCCTATGTGCGTAAGGTGGTGATGTAATAGGGTGAGTAATACTGAGGTTAGGCATCGGTGGTCGAGTGGTCGAGGTAGCTAGAAGGGGAAATCAGTCGACGAGGGGGTTTTGAAGTTACACTGATTGCGAGAGATGGTTAGGAGATGTGTTGCGCATGCATGACTAGCCATTGATCGCCTTCCTCGATGACGGGCAATATTAGCTAGCTGACTGACATAGGATGGATGAGGTTGGAAAAGAGCTAGCACATTGTGGTCAAACAAAAACGCGGCGTGAACAGTCAGTGAAATCTGTCACAACCAGCTAGTCATGTGGGGAGTAGCTATAGACTTCCTGACAGGTTAAGGTCCTCAGGAGGAAACAGCCTCCTCACAAAAGCCACATTCTGAAACAACTAATCAATTTGGGACACCAAAACAACTCACAAACAACTTCAGAGTAACCGGGAATACTATCAAAGGCCTAAAGACCCAAACTTCTTCAAACCGCAGAAGGTATAGTATCTATATGCTAAATCCTCTATTCTGAATACAGAAGCGGTTTATTCGGTCACCGAATTTAACTTACAATGGAGCTAACTTATCTGGGAATGCATAGTGTAATTTTCTAGATTTTATTTCTGCACTCTCCCCTCGATTACATTTCTACTCCTTATGACACTGATATTAACTCAACTTTGTTTCAATCATAGGTAAACTCTGCTCAACCTCGTCCTTTAAGTTACGTCACAGAACCTACTTAATTTTGCTTTGGTTTATTGACCGCTATCTAAAACCCGAAATTTCACAGACACTTCCCTTGGGAAACGTTTGTTTTGATGTTATGAAAGGGTATAATATTTGAAATGATGAATTGGCGTGCACTACACAAGACTCTGCGGAGCTGAAGCTCATTGGTTTAACTGTTCGACTTCTAACCCAGTTGGCCAGGGGTTCAGACCCCGCCCCATCACATAACGAGGTTTGAAACCCCATGTAGTGTCAACAGGCATTATGCAACAGGTGCGCCTCATGTTCCCAACTACATGAGAATCGCAAATAGTTCCTGAGAAACACATACAAGACTTTGTAATGAGAGGCAGATACACAAAAATGTAAAAATAGTAGGAATGTTTTTAATTATACCTAGGAAATTTAACAATCAGTAAGTACAATTTATGGACTAACCTTCACTCTATCTTAGAAGAGTTGCACTTTGTCTACGAGCATTCAAAAGTTCATAGTAGTCTTGTAAACCAATCTTGTGAGGTGAACGAAACATCACATGCTTTCTGAAAGATTGTATATACTCAATTGCCGATTCAACATTCATAGAATCTTTAGACATTAAATAACACGTTAGTAGGTAGGCTGAACGAGTACGACCAGCTTTACAATGAATATAAACGCATCCATTCGACTGGACACAACTGTCGATAAACGAAATTCCCCTATCAATCTTTCTTTGTCAACGAAAAGAGAAAAAGGAGGAAAAGATAATATAACTATTAGGGATAACAAAATGCTAATGACTGGAACATTTATAGAGATGTAAAATGCATTCCATTTAGACAGCTAAGTAATAGCCACCTCTCATGTATTTGTTGTTATGACAACGATAATTTAATTCTTTTTGCGTTCCCAGTGGAACATAAAGGGCTCCAAGCTTCAGCTTTGAAGTTTTCAGTAGAAGTGGAGCTTATTTTTACGGGATGGGGTTGCTAATCCCACGTCCAACCTCCCCTCTTTGTCGGGATTAACAACCGACTAAGTGAGGGGTAAAGGTGCGCGCCGGCCGGGGATCAAACCCCGACCACATGCATGGTTAGTGAGTATCCTACCGCTGAATTATCGACGCAATTTTCACAGCGAAATTCCTATCAATTGATTGATTCTCATAATAGACACACTGCCCAAGCACTAGTCAGTCAGTAAGCTGATATTTCCTCAAAAAACTCCACAATAGAGACCAATAACTTTATCAAACAATGAAAGATTCTGTATTTCTGTCCTAGAAATAAACGTTATTTGAGGTGAGTGATGGATGATTGAGTATGACCACTTCCCATCACAAGCACTAAAATCGAGGATAGCTAACATTATGGTCAAGTAATTTTTCAACTAAACTTGATTTGTAAACTCTTTTACCTTGATTGGACACTAGTAACTAGTGCGACGTGTCTAGTCCTTTCTTTGGTGCAGACTGAATTCTGTCAGTCAGTCAGGTTTGCAATGTGGCCACCATTCTAGGTAGCTCGCCATCACGGTGCACATTGATTTAATGATATTAGATAGTTGGAGGCAATCGGCCACAGGAAGCCTTGCCGGAACCTAGGTCTCGTGCTAGTTGGAACTCACCAGTCAGCAAGGCGTATGTGCAACCTTGAAGGAAGGAACTCATGTCCCTTCTGAGATTCGAACCCGAGTCACCCAGTGATGCAGTCAGAGATGTAACCACTGAGCTATTTGGGCTCGCGATTGACCTCCTGTAGGACTGTAGTGGGCTTCTCCAAAAGCAAAAATATTATTGAAACAATAGAGACACTGATAGCCAGCCCAAAAGACTTCATTACACAATAATATAGTGCCAAATTGACATCGTGAATTTCAGGTAGATTAGGGATTTCCTGTTATCCCCACAGCATGTCAATTATTCGACCAACATATGCATGTCTATATATGTCATCTTAGTACTAAAAATAATTCTGGTACCTAGAATTTTTAAAATCATTACCAGCTGTCAGATACACATCAGCAGCAGTAATTCCCCGTGCTCTACTACTCAGTTGTTCATTGAGTTAAAAACGGCATTGCCTAGCTGCAGTGTTACAACAACATTAGGTACACTAGTATCCACTAATACGAATATGCACACATACCAAAACTGTATTCTTTTCAACGGTAATTATGGCCACTAACTATGCTACACTTTGATAGTTTGTAAATGCGTTTCCCAAGGCAATATAAGAAATATATTATTACGACATACCGCGACCACTAGCCAATGTCTTCAGTGAGTATTTGTCGTCCCACACGTAACGTGCTGTACCCTACTGGTCACCACTTCCCACTAGAACCTCAGCTAACTACCTACCTGAATAGAGCCAGTCGCTAGTGAGCATCTCATTGATATTCAAGTATTGGTTTGCAGGGGGATTCGACTGATTGATTTCAGGATTTCATCAGGTCGGGTGTGAGGACAAATACTCGCCAGCGATGACATTGGCCAGTGGTCGCGCTATAACATCGTGAGTTGGCACTGGCCATTGGATCGGGTCCCAGTGGGTCAGTAGTCTACGAGCTTGCTTCCTTTGTAACCAGAAGATCGCTGGGTTCGAACAATGTCGGTGGGTGCGCGCCGGCCGCTGAAGAATCAGTGCCAAACTAAGCTGACGAAACAGCTGGCTGTCCAGAACTGCCAGCTGGTTTTCCAGTGGTTCTCTAACCATTTTCAGCTCATGAAGAAATCCTGTAACGAATCGATCAAATCCGTACAAACCAATACTCAAATATATTATTATTATTTTCAAGTATTGGTTTTGTAGGGATTTTGTTTGATTGCGTGGAGGATTTCATCATGAGCTGACATCAGTTAGAGAACCACTGGAAAACCTGGGAGTACTGGACAGCTGTTTCGTCCTGGTTTGGGACTCATCAGCAGTACGCACCCACCAGAAGGTCCTGGGTTCGAATCCCGGTGGGTAGTTGATACATGGTCGCGAAAAAAAACACAGATAAACACAATAAGTGTACAAACAAATGATTCACATGTGATGTATCAACAAAAATGACAGATACCACAGTCTTTCATCACTTGAAAGTGAATAGTATTTTGAATCAGATGACATTCTGAGTTGTTATTAAATAACTTTCATGACTTATTATTTTTTTCTCAAAAATTACACATCATATGACACTAAAATAGTTTGTTGTATAATTTAACGAGATATGATTCAATTATTAATATGATGCAAACCAATTCAACAGATTAGATACACAATAATGATTGATTATTGGGCGAAGTGAAACTATCATGGTCAAAATCGCAGTGACCTTGAACAACCAATCACAATTCAGAGACAAAAACAGTCGTATAATCGTTGAAATATACACTATGACACATTGCAAACATGATATCACCCTGGATAATCTTCGCCTAAGTGTTGTAAGGATATCTCTCAGTCACTACACAGATAACCTATGGAGAAATCATACTATGCGCGAGAGATGCATTCATCTAGGTGACTGTAGGTGTAAGATGAATTCAATTCCCATCCTTAAATCAAGTCAACCTGTCCCGGATCAGCCTAGCGTTGTTGTAACCCAATTATCCATGCCTAACGTGTCTATCCCCCCTTGTTTAATGAACTGTGTGTGTGTGTTTGTTACATCGATCCGTTTAGTCAGACTGTTGAACTCATGACCCAATCAGAGTATTTTTGTGAACTGTTATTTTGCTGACCCATGTCTTACTTTGTACTATTCTGTCGAGTTTACCTTATTTATTGATCTCCATTTGTATCCGCCTACCTGGTTAAGTAGCCAATTAAATTCTATCTTTGTGGCTATGCTCTATCTCTTGCTTGGTTTCATTCTTCTACTGACTTCTTACCTGAACGGTCGTGTCTGATTCCGGCTAGTTTGCAATTTTGGCTTTAACGTTATTCCGCTCTGATAGCGGTACCTTGCTTTCTGTTAAGCGTTGTGCTTTGTACTCTTGAAACCGTTAAGGTTTGTTGTATATATAATTATTGATTTGTTTATTAATAGTACCGTAGCAATAGTGACCGGGTTCTTGTTTGTTCTGAACCGGGATAGCCTTTATCTACGCGTGACTTAATTTCAAACGATACTGCGCTTACAGTTCACAGATCACAGTTCTCTGAGATCCATTGATATTTCTGACACTATTTCTTTAACCTATCATCCCTAACTCTGACCGTATTCTTAACCCCTAAGCTTAACTTTAATCCTAATTCTAAGCCTAATCTAAACCATAAGCCTACCTGACAATGCAGATTTACACAAAAACGTACCAAGGGAATACATATTAGACTGTATCTTCCCTCTTCATCAAATCCATAAATGCAGGGCATAGTGTTCCCTAAATCTGATTCTTGAAGTCAACTTCTCATAGACCCTGACTTTGGCTATGCTATACTACTTTAACTTCACCGATTGTTCTACATTATTTGAAGTGAAAAACCAACACATCTCACTACTATTTCAGCCGACTGAATACAGTTGAAGAGACACTTACTTGTTCAACTGTAGGAACTCCATAAAAGTCTTGAACAGGCAGAGAAAGATATTTAATGCCACGATCTTCAGCGTCTTTTTCTCCGATAACAAATGACTTTACTTCAAATGGTTCCAAAAGACTGACAATGTGTGTGATCTTTTCATCAGCTTGTAATTTGTCCCAAAATTTTCTCAATGGTAAACCACCCAAAACTAAGCATGGTGAGATACGTGAATACCATGGACGACCACGATAATGATGCATTACAAGCCCATAGGCTGTACTGACATAGAAAGCGACTTCGTTTATGAAGACCTGAAAAGTTCAGTAAGACAAGAATACAATAAGTTATGAATAAGACGAGTGGATTGTTGTTATCAGTACAAAAAACAGTAAATACGACAATAAAAGTTTCTTGACAAAAAAAAAAGGAGAGAGAAGAACTAAAGAAACTCATGTATGACGAAAGATTGATAAAGGATCAGGAGTAGCCCACTTCGATAGAAGTGACTATATTAACTGACTGGTTTCAACATAGAAATTTGCAAAGATGTGCAGCAGTTCAAGTCGCCACACTTCACTTAGAACACAAAGCAAGAGACGAAAGTAAAAAGGAATGCGAAATGGAGAGAGAGTAAATAGAGATATGAGACAAAAAGAATAGTAAATACCGAAGAACACTATAGTTTTATTGGATATTATAAGTCACAAGGAGTGGATGCATCTGCGCCAGTGACAACGATTTTGAGCCACATCACCAATTGTCTCCAGTCGCCGCCACTGGTTTTTACCGTCCCGAAGACCCCAAACAGAACGTCTACACTTCCTTATGTGGCTTAAACTAACTGTTGTAGATTCCATTGACTGATGAAGCCATGTTTTTGTTTGACCACCACTAGCTCTCTTCCAACTTGATACATCCTATATCAGCCAACATTGCCCGTCATCAAGGAAGGCGATGGATAGGCATACGTGACACATGTCCTGACCATTTCTCTCTATCCTCGTAACTTAACAATCACTTCATCGATCGATTTCCCCTCCAACTCACCTAGCACTCGACGCTTAACCCCAATATTGCTCCCCCCATTATGCCATCACCTAACACACACGGGAGATAGAACGCAGGCATCTATGATCAAAGACAGCTTTCCATGTCCACCACTCTCAATGGCCTGGTCTCACAGCCACAAAAGAGGACGAAGCGGACTGCTGAGCAGTACACACGTCCTTTGATCGATAAACAGCCGGATATCACGTCTATGCCAGAGATGGCGTAAACTGCCATATGCGAAACGAGTCTTCTGTATCGGTGCTGAGATATCGTCAGCGAGCAAACCGTTGGCTGATGCAAATTCCCAAATAAGTGAAGTGGTCAACGCGCTCGACCACTTCATTCCCTATTTCTAAGCTAGGAGTAAATGTAGTCTAGTCCTGTAGCCTCATCATCTTACATTTGACAGGAGCGAATCGCATGCCAAACATTAGAAGATTGCTGCTCAGCTCAAAATATTCAGAAGACTCTGCATTTTGTCAGTGGTACATAGGGCTTCAAGCTAGAGGCTTGGAGATTCTGTAGCAGTGTTTATTTTACAGGATGGGGTTGCTAGCCTCATGCCCAACCTTTCCTCTTTACCAGCATTATTTCTGGCTTAGCGAGGTAAAGGAGTGCGTCATCTGCATATTCCAAGTCAACGAGATTTTTCCCTCCCAGGTAACAATTCAATCCCTGGGTCGCTGAAGTCACTTAGGATTAAGTCCATTAGTACACCTATGATGAAATTGAATAAAAATGGGGATAGTGGACATCTCTGACGGACGCCACTAGTTGTCACCAGTTTAGATGACAACTCGCTGTAAGCTCTCACCTGCCTTCATCAGTCCAATATATTTTCTCGGCATTCCTTTCACAGCCGATTGTCGTCAGAGTACCTCTCGGTCGACAGAAACGAATGCCGTCTTTAGGTCAAGAAATATAACGAATGTTGGACGCCGGTAAGTATGCCTACATTTCAGAATATGTCGAAGGGTGAAGATATGATCAATACACCCTCTTCCTGGTCTTAAGCCTTCTTGGTTCTCTCGTGTTTCTTCCCATCGAGCTCCTCTTAGCCTACGCATTATTAGTAAGTCTAGAACTTTAGATACCATATTAGTCAAGCTAATCCACCTGTGATTATCACAGGAAGACTTATCTCCCTTCTTGTATAACGGGATAATCAATGACTTACACCAACCCGATGGGACTTCCTCTGATTCCCAGACGCTGTCTAGTACCTTAGTTAGCGCAGACAGTAAACTGTCTCCACCATCCTTAAACGCCTATATTAACCAAATGAATGATATATTGAAATACACACAGAAGTTCAAAAAACATAAGGAGAAGAGAGATTTGAATTAAAAAATAGACAGCGAATTAACCAGACATTTCAAGAAACTAAGGGAGGAACATATATTTCCTGAAGAAATCAGGCCAACGGGCACACACACACCAAGATTGTGTGGCCAACCTAAAGTACATAAACCGGGGGTACCATTAAGACCAACACTTGGTATGCCAAAGATATATTGGAATTCGTAGACAAAATCAAAGATAATAATATCAAGGATAAAACTATGATATCTTTAGATATAAAATATTCATTCACAAATATACCTAGAGTAGAAACGGTGAACTACATATGTGAACAACTATACAACAAATAGATAAATGTTGGCATCTCAACAGAAATCCTAACCGAACTGTTATTAAGGTATTAAATTTGATGGCACACTTCACAGACAAGTGGACGGCGTGGCGATGGACTCCCTCCATTGGGTCCCATGTTGACAGATTTCTTTTTATGTAAACTAAAGAATAGTCCTTTGAACAACTTTATCAGAAAATTCTCATGTTATTCCTGATATGTGGATGCTACCTTCATTCTTTGTTAAAGTGTTTTCGACAGGAACGCAGTAATAACTCAATTCAATGAAGTACATTCAGCTGTCAAATTTACGTCCGAAGAGGAATCACACAATAGAATCACCTTCTAAAATGTCCCCCACACAAGAAAACCAGATGGCAGTATAAATAGAAATTTGTATAGGAAATGCACATGGACAGGACAAAACACACATTTTCATAGCCTCTCCAATTCAAGAGAAATTTAATAAGGGCACTCAGCTGCAAGGTCAGAGCTATATACACTCAGAAGATGTAACTGAGGATTAACTCAGCAGTGCATATGACACCTTAATTGAAAATAGCTATCCAGGAAAGTTCATCGGGAAATACATTACCAAGAAAGTAGAAATGGACTATTCTCAATCTGTATATAAAAGACCAATATGTATACGCACCTGTGGTTCAGGAGTGACGTACCGAGTGAAATGATTACTAACAAACTGAGAAAATCAAGGCAAAGAACTTTTACTGCAAGCACACTACAAGTCTTATTTTCTACACAATGACCGGTTCAGATTCCTCAACTGTGAAAGATGAAGTACCTAGACTCAACACTCCTTAATTGTATCAATCAATTCAATTGCGGAATAGGTGGATCAACCGACATTGACTATTGCTAACGGAACTCGATTATTCCATCTTGCTCGGGAGAACATAGGAGGATGGACTGGTTCACATGAAGGTTCAGACACAAACATCAAAAGCTCGGTCCCACACAATCTGGTTAATATGAAGCAAAAAGATAATCGCTTTCTTGGAAACTCCGATATGGCTTGCTATACACGTCTATTGATCGTTAGTCAGTGATGACGCACAGTCTAAATTGCCCGTCTACTTACTCAATAACAATGTATGACCTTTGTCACATGACAGTGCAGCCAATCAGAATACAGTTGGGGTGGAGGTGGGGTGAGTAAGAAATATCACTTTATCTATCTTATTGCTTCATATTTGTTGTTAGTTGTTTGCTTACACTATTAACTATTGCACGGTACTGTACAATTGATTGACACACATGTGTGACAGTCAAATTTCCCTGTTCGAATAATAATAATAATACACGTATGCTTCGTCAACGACGTGTTTATATTATATATTATTGTTCCCTTAGGTTCCTAGTGGAACATAGGGCTTCAACTGCACGCCTCCACTTGCTTCTGTCTTCGGCTGTACTTTTCACTTGCATCCATGTTAGTCCATACTGTTTCAGTTCCTCATCACACGATCTTCTCCATGTCACCCTTGCACTGACGTCCCACTCGCCGCTTTCCTTTCGGGTTCCACTCGAGCACTGGACTGACGCGCGATGTCACCCAATGGCCTCCTCAGCCAGTGTCCAATCCATCTCCACTTTCTCCTGCATATTTGTTGATCGATTGGTTCTTGTTTTGTTTCTTCCCATAGTTTCTTGTTAGTGGTTCTTTCCGGCCATCTAATCTTCAGTATAGAACGAAGACAGTTGTTGATAAAGGTCTGCAACAGGCTGTTGGAAATATTCTTTGTGACACACTGGCGAAGTTTCTGATCCGTATAGCAAAACTGACTTGACGTTTGTATTGAAAATCCGAATTTTGTTGTTGATGCTGAGTGACGAAGATTTCCAGATTGGTTTCAGGTTGATGAATGTGTTTCTCGTCTTTCCGATTCTTGATTTGACATCCTCGTCCATCCGTTTCTCCTGTAGTTGAGACAATGCTTCCTAGATAAGTGAATGAAGTAACCTCTTTCAAATCCCTCCCGTTGATGGTGATTGGCGCCGGATGTTGCTGTTGTTGTTGTTGGATGGTTATTTTCATAACCACCGTCTTGTCTATGTTCACCTGGAGTTCTGTCTCCACTGCCTGCTTCTTCGACCAGTTTATCGGTTTTCGCTTGTAAGTCTTCGATCTTGTGTGACATCAAACATAAATCATCCACGCGCGAAATCCAGGTCTTCTTGGTTCTTCACGTCGGTCCAGAATATCCCTGTCTTCTCGTTTCCATGCACTGTCTGACGCATAATCCAGTCCACCACAATTAGGAATATCATTGGTGATAATAAGCACCCTTGTCTGACTCCTGTGTTTACTCCAAACGCCTCGCTGAGTTTTCCGTTGTGGATCACTTGACATGTGCCGTTGTCGTACAGTTGTTGAATAAGGCTGTTGAATATTTGGGGTACGCCGTAGTACTTGAGTAGTTTCTAAATTACTTCGCGGTCAACGCTGTCGAAGGCCTTCTCAAAGTCTATAAAGGAAATTAAGGTAGAGATTTGATTGCCATTCCATGCTTTGTTCGATGATAATGCGTAGATTTGCAATTTGTTCAGAACATGATTTGCCTTTCCTGAATCCAGCTTGTTCTGGTCGGAGTTCTGTATCCACTGCGCC